CTTCACTATGCTCTCTCTTGTTGGTTATTATATAACACAACTATAAGCGTTTAAAGTTATCAGTCCCTTAATGAAATCAAATTTAAAATACATAATTGTATTTCAAGAACTTACACTCCAGCTCTAAGTACAGACCCTTAGGGTGGAACCTAGGCACCTGATTTTTCTTTCAAGTTCCACAGTGTTCCTGGTGTTATTGTTAGGGTACAGAACAACTACCTCATTTAGTGGGTGTGCATTTGTTGACGTTTTCTTTTAAACAGTAAGCAGTGTTTATTGATGGTTGATAAATAGGGGAAAAAATCATGAATGATAATTATATCTGTTATCCGAGGAAAAGAATTCTTAACATCAAAGCCACAAGAGAAATACGATTTTTTTTTGTAAATTGGAATAAAAGCCTTCTTAAAGATTATGTGTTGTCTGTGTCACAGATAGTTTAAATAATAATGCTTTTCTTCCCCATTTTTTGGTACTTGTTTATAACCCATAGAATCAAAACCTTGATCAGGTGGTCTAAAAGAAGGATAACTGACAAATTTTAAAACCTACAAACTTTTGCTTACAACATGTGATAGAAATAGGTACAAGATAGGATCCGGTTGAGCTACAAAACAGCCTGTAAAGGTGAAAAAGATTAAGCTATTGTTTCTCGAAAAAAAATAGGATTATCAGCCTTTGATAAAATGTAGTGTTCATATCATATGAAAAACTAACAGTTAAAATGAAGAAGCTACATAAGGTCAAGATGGCTAGATCTTTAAAACTATCAGTTGTCAATCATGCCTCAGTAAAACTGAGGGAAGAAAACTGTCAAATGCAAAAAGCAAATTGCAGAAGGATTTCTGTAATATACTACATATATAATATTAGTAACCACGCAACCGTATTCGTGAAATTTATACACATATTGTGAAAATACAGACAGGAAAACACTAAATTCATAAAAGTTAATTATCTCTAAAGAAGAAAGTTACAAAATTCCGTAAGTTTTAAATCTTAACTTTAAAAAAAAGACAAAGTGCAGCAAAATCTTAACATTTGGTAATTCTAGATGGTGGTTTCATAGCTTTAAATATTTCTGTGTTTGCATTATAGAAATACAAAAGCAAAAAAAATTCAAAATAAATTAGGAGGTAATATATGAAATCAAGATTTTCAGAGACAAAAGTATATTTACAAAAAATTGAAGAGACTTTTAAAAAGGTTTACAGGTCTTAATGTTTTATATTGTCTACCTGTATCTGAGGTTTGTAGACATACTTAGACCTAACTTTTATCAGTCTTCCCATGAAATAAAATTTTACAGTTTGTTAGAGGCATCTTGGTGACTCTTACACACCAGAGTATATACCATTACATACATAATTTATCTAAGTATATGTGAATGTTATATGTTGCTTTTAGTTAGTTGTGTGCTGTGAGTACTTTCATTATGTCAGAGTAGATCTTTGTTACAATTGACTGAATTTAAGTTCACTTTTGAGAATAACAAAGCAGATTATTAAAAAACTTGTTTCAAAGGAATGCTCCCATTTTTAATTGATGTTTAAGAGTGATGATGGACACATTTTGTTTCTGTAAGGACTAATTCTTGAGTGTTTCTGAAAGTTGATAGGATCATTGTTCTATTATGATTTGTCTTTGCTCAATACAACTCAAAAGAACAAGTTAGCTTAAAATTCTTTTTGTGTTTTTTAGCAAAGAATGGCTCAAGAAGTACTGACGCATTTAAAGGAGCATCCTGATGCATGGACAAGAGTCGACACAATTTTGGAATTTTCACAGAATATGAACACGAAAGTAAGCAAGTGGTGGTTTTAAAATCCATTATTTCTTCTTTTCTTCCAGTCATAAACTTTGAGGAAGGTATCTCATTTTTAGTATTAGCATTTGTTATCTCAAATCATTTAATAATGTTAACTTATTTCAAAATTTAGTGTTAAATATAGAATTAATTCTTGCAAATAGTCCTAAGAATTATGAATGAAGTTTTGTAATTGGGACTAGTATGCAAGGTGGCTTTTTTGTTGTTTGGGGTTTTTGTTTTTGTTTTTTCTTTTTAGAATATGTGTACAGATCTAAATAAATTCTGAATGTTATTCAGAGATGAAACATAACATCAGAGGAATTATTTTGGGCAAGTAATCAATATAATACAGGCTAGGCACCTCCAAAACCAAGTTGCGTGGGCAGCCTAAGACCCTACTCATGGTACCAATGCTTTTAATGGGACAGCACTCAGTTTTTATTTGCAATTGAAAATGTTATCATTTGGGTCCTTTTTTCTTAAGTTTGAACAGAAGGGTTGATCAAAATGTGTTTTTACTGTTTAGGCTTGATGATTCACACTTTCCTTTAAACTGCCTTAAAGTAATAAAATACCGTGAATGGCATTCTGTTCAAATATACACAAGGTTTCCACTTGGTATACATTGTGTTAAAACAGAAAATGGCCATGTTCACTTCTGTTTCTGAAATCAGACTGTGTTAATTAACAGTTTTAAAATACTAATTAGTTTTGACATCTTAAATTTTAGGGCAAAAATACAGTCCAGAACTTCCTCAAAGTGCTAACCTTAAGTAACATAACAGTGTTTGCCTGTTTGCTTGCCTGGTAAATTTTGCTTTTTATACTGACAGACATTACTAATGTTTAAGTTGATTTATCAACAGTATTTTTAAAAACTCAAATTTGTCTTGTGAAAAATGAGATGATTAGAGGAACAGAAAGAAAGCAACAGGTAAAGAATTCTTCAATTTACATAAATTACAAATGATTTGGTGCTAAATTTATGCACTATGACATTTGGCTTTTATGCAATCATTTTTTTTTCTTTAAAGATGTTAACACTACCTGATATTAATCATAATGTTCCATTATGTTGATTGCTTGTAATAGGAAGAAAAGGGGTGTCTTCCTGTGCAACTGACACAGCTAGGCTTTGACGGCAGGCCTCCACAAGGTCTACCCTTTTGATTCCCTTTAACTGAATTCTGTTCATCAATTGTTTTTGTTTCATGGGCGGTGGGAGGGGAAAGGGGAATTCAATGCATAAAATAAGTATTTCTAAGGGCTCAGTAGAAATTTCTACCATAGGGATCATTTCATGCATTTATTTTTTCATTTAGTCTTTGCTGTTATCTGTCCCTCATCTTCATAACTCAGCAGTGGATTTCTCAAGTCCTGAAATGTAAAGCAGAAAAGTAATACTTCAGAATGATTGGATTATTTATGTGTATTTCCGAAGTAGTTATTTATTACTGGCCCTCAGATTTGGCTGTCACTTCAAATTTTTTTAATCAAAATACTCTTTTTCAAAGAAATGTGGATTTTCTTCATATGTAGTGTCTTAATGTATAGGAGGGTTTGGGGTTTTTAGGGTATTATGATGGTGATCTGTATATTCCTTTGAACTAACTTGTGAAAAGCTTTTGTTGGGCTTCCTGCCTCAGCCCTGTTGGCAGAAAGAGGAAAATATGAATTGTATCTTCAGCAAGCTTGTGCTACTTTTTTACAGTTGGAGAAAGGACTAGAGGTTAGTAAATAGGTAATTTAGGTAACAAAGTATCAGACATAAAGGAAGAAGTAAGTAAATGAATGCAACAATGAAGGGGGGAATATTCAGTTAAAAACGGTAAGCTGAAAATGCATTGGCTAAATGGTGAAGTTATCATTAAGATTACTTTTCAACTGGTGTTTTTATGGTGGGTTTTATTTCCTAGTTTTTTTAAAGATCTTTTTAATTGGTTGAGAATTAGCAAGGGGACATACCATGTCGTAAGAAGTGCATTATTTTGACTTAACTAAAACTTTAAACACTGATTTCATGCCTATAAAATTAATTTAAAGCAAGTTTAGGGTAGTATGTTTTTAAGAGTTAGTTTAGAATTTCAGTCGATGAGAAACGGTGCTTTTTTAAAATTTATTGACATTTTTCTGAGACCTAGACCTATAAAGAGATGTAAATGAACAGAATAGAAAGCTTCACCATTTGCTGCTGATTATGAAACTTTTAATGGCATCAAATTTATAATTTGTAATTTCAGAATTTTGCTTTGGCCTTTTTATTTTTGAAGTCTTTTTAAGGAATGTTCTGCAAATGTAGGATTTTAGTTTGAAATGGCAGAAATTTTCTTAAAAGTATGAAATGTTGAAAATGAAAGAAAACAGCAAAAACATTTACTGTTTGAGCACAATGTAGTTTGGGACAGTCTATATTGTGCTTGGATAAAGAGTGCATTCACATGATCCCTTTGGTTGAAATACTAATGCTCCTATTTTATTGTGTGATGACTAACCATTTTAAAGATGAACTCTTATTCTCAGCCAAAACTTGCAATCTGAGGTTATATGTCTATATATGAATGAGTTTACCTTTCAGGTATTGTAGCTGATTCTTCCCTAATTCAACCAGATGAAACATACCACAACACTTTTGACCCTTTTCTTCCTCCTGTCTATCCACACTAATTGGTCATGGTAATAATTTTGGGTCGTGACTTCTATAGCCTTATAAATTGTTATAAATATTGTTGACTATTTAGAGTGAGTAATCAGCAGGAGGGACAAAATGGCTTGAAAGTGGTATTTGTATTTATTAACTTAATTATATTTTTAGTTATTGCTTTTATATTTGGAAGGAATACCTGAAAGGTAGATGCAGATTGCAACATGCATTTGTGTATTATTTTGACTGTGCACAAAAGTTTATCTTTAAATTAGTAGAAATAGCAACTATGAGGGTGGGGTTAAAATTTAAAATTAAACCCGTGGGCTGTCTTGCTGCTCCTTAAGTAACACACCAGTGATATTTGTAAACACTTTCTGTAGAAGGTATCTGTGACAATACTTTAATACTTGGCCAAGAGCTTACAACTTCTAGAAGATGGTAGGAAGCTTGAGAGCATCCAAGCTGCTAAATTCTTAGGAGCCTGGTCGTGTTAAAGTACGTGAGCCTATAAGCAGTCATTTATGCTGTGAATTCATATCTGGCTGCTGCTTTTCCTCCTACAGACTAAGCCCATTTGGCTGCTAAAGGGCTTTTTATTTGGTTCTTCCTCCTGGTGTGAGCATGTATAAACAGCAGGACGTTAAATAGAGTAGTAAACAATAAAATGAGGAAAATGCATGAAAACTCAGTATATGGGTGAATAGATCCTTGTTTAATATATGTAATAAAACTTGGTAGCATAATGTTTTTGAAACTTTAGCTGTAAATGTGTGAATGTCTGTCCATTTGTGAATCCTGAAAGTTGCCAGTCTTACAGCAATATATTCACATCCTTCTATTCTCCAATTTTCAGTATTATGGACTACAAATTTTGGAAAATGTGATAAAAACAAGGTGGAAGATTCTTCCAAGGAACCAGTGCGAAGGTAGGAAAATGTTGTAAAGAATTGTAAATTCAGAATTTATTATTCCTGGCATTTTTATTATAGTTGAGTATTGGACAGAGAGAATGTGTTGAATCTTTAGTAATTTATTATGTTGTGATGGATTACTGCTTTCATCATGTGGTAAGGCAGGTTTTATTTATATTTGGTGGCAAGGGAAGGATAAGGTGATTTTTTTTTGTGGAAAAGCGGAGACCAGACTGGTCAGACTTTCTACAGTAAATATTGTGGTGAAAAATTTGTTTCAACTCATAGTTAATCTGGACCATGTTTGAAGTGAATGAAATTTGAATATGTGCTCTTATGCATTGCTTTAAGCTTATCAGACAGTAAGAAGGTAATGAGTTGTAATACATGGAATAACAAATTAAGAGCAGAGCAGAGGTAAAACCACGTTTTATAAATCACAAGGCTTTACCTTTTGAAATTCTGGGCATACTTTATAGGAGGTTCACTTCTGAAATAAGGAAAGATAAAAAATGAAGATATGGTGACGCCTGGTATTCATGTTTTAACTTTTTCCCTTTTGTACTATCTCGGCAAAAGTAGTCACAGTTTAAGAAACCTGGGGCAAGTTTAGTCTCTTGGAATTCCTTAATGTGGTTACTTCCAGTTTTCACATATAGCCTTATTATTTACTTTTTATTACTTGTTTAATCTCTGAAACATATAAAAGGAAGCATGGACTTTATAATGGGAATCATACTACTTTGGGTGGTGTTTTCTTCTATTAAATTATGTCCCCTTGGACTATTGCTCTTTAAGATGTTGTCTTTCACCTGCTTTCTCATGTCATTTTTATGGTGGGATAGTGACCTGGATTTACCCAGTCTGACCTACATCTTGACATCTTTGTAGCATGTTCAGAGGTGAATGGGACAATTTTTAATGGCAATACACCTAATACACCATAAGCTGGATTAAGAATGGTAGTACAGGAAGAAATACTGCTCTCAAAAAAGGTTCCTGTTTCTTTAAATGTTTTATTTTGGTTTGAAACCATTTTAGGTCACATTTTGTGACCTCAGAAATTAGTAAGTACAGTTTGACTATGTGGCCCAAATAGACAAATTGTTCATCACTACTTGTTAGGGACCTTAGGTGCAGTCCTGGTTCCTTTACTACTATAGTTTTATATTTGTGGTTTGAGCCTCAAATTAAACTTCAGTTCCTTTTGGTTGGTACCATACCAACAAAAAATTGTTTAATTTGCTACTTCAGTACCATTTTACCATAGTAAGTCCCTCTTTAATTTTTAAACACCTAGACCTCTGCTTCCTGTGATGTAAGGATTGTGCTAGATGATCCTCCCAAGATACTTTCCAATAAAATTAAATGATTTAAAATAATACTAGCTTATCAAAGTCATGGTTGTATTTGTTACTGAAAAAAATTAGAGGATAAAGTTCTCCCTGAGGAATTGGCATTTTTTGCTTTCTGCATGAATGGGAGTGGTATTTTTTAGTTTTTATCATAAAATCAAAAGCTACATATTTCTTTTAAATATCAAATATACACATACTCTAGGGGGCATGTGATTTTAATTTTGACAGTATAGTCATCTTGTTTGGAAAAAACTGATGGGGGAAAGGTGGTGGTTTTATTCTGTGTTGGTGAAATACTTCATTTCTCTTAAAGCAGTACTTTAAAAAAAAATCAGAATTACCTTTCCCCCTGCATTTTCCTTTGGCACTAGTGATTAAGTGGGAAAGGGAGGAGGGTATAGCTCAAGTGGTAGAGCACATGCTTAACATACAGAAGGTCCCCAGTACCTCCTCTAAAAAAAATAAGATAAATAAGTAAACCTAATTACCTCCCCCCAAAATTAAAAAAAAAGATTAAGTTGAATGTAAACTTTTCTAAAAGTACCTGAAGTTAGTATCACACACTAACTTTGTTAGTGATTGTCACTGACAGTGAAGTAATTACATGGAGGGAAAAATGTAGTTTCTAGTGTCTTTCAGAGGCTCATTATTAAAAGAGCAAGTAAAATGGCTCCCAGAGAATGTTAGTGAACTCTAGCTTTAGATATGCAACAGAAACTTTGCATGATGCGTTGAATGACTTGTGTTTTTAAGGTAATTGATCTCACTTATAAAACTTTGGAAAACATATTCAGTACTGTATTTTAAATTCTTTCCAACTTTGTCAATACTGGGAAGCTTCTGCAATCTTAAGATTTTTTTATCTCACAAAATAAACTAACATTTCTGAGTGTTAATTTTCCTTCATCTTTACTAGTATTGGAAATACATTAGTATAACCTCCAAACTATTATACATTCTTTTTGTTTGTAATTGTCATATCTTTTAAAGTATAGCTAGTATTTGTCCAATTTTCTTAGTATATATGTGGGACATACATTGTGTATCTGCCTTGTACAAAGCACTATTAGATATTAAGACTATGTAAATATATCCCTGCATCAAAGTGTTAAAGGTGGGAAGATAAAATGTAGGTTAAAAATAATGAGAGCATTAAATTAGGTGTATATGTGAGTGCTACATATGCTGAAAGGGAATAATCAGGTTGGACCCTGTAGATAAGCTCATTCATGAAAAGTGGAAATGCTTGATTTTGATGTATTTTAAAGGAAGGATAGATTTGGTTCTACAAACAGCAAGCCAGAACAAGTTTTATACATTTTTTTTTTCAAATCTAACCTTTATTTTATCTGCTTTCAGGTTCTTGTCCATAAGCAAATGTTAAATTTTCATATGTTCTTTTAGGGGAATGGCATTTTCAGCTTAGGGCTTTTATCTAAAGCCCTTTGCCAGGAAAATAACCTGACAATTCTGGACTGAGTCAGATGTCTCTTGCTGTGTGTTCCCTTAGTGAGTCCTGTACCAGTGGATCACAGAGCAAAATTTTAATGAACAAGACAGAGCTAATAGTCAAATAAGGACATTAAAAAAACATTTAATTAAAAGATACTTTAATAAAAATAGAGTAAGGGAGATATAACATTTATAATCATTTTAATGAATTTAATTTATGTAATACAAAATTTACTGCATTGCTCTGATTTTTATCATTTAGTTTTAGGTCAGAAAAATGTTTCTTTCTATTTGGTCACCCCAACCTGTACCCACTGTAACCTTTATCCTATTTGGCTGTTGCTGTTTTTCTTTTCCTTGTCCCTCCAAATATAAACTTAATGTTGTCAGGGATCAGAGAATGTCTTTATTGCATTCTTACTCCTTGGTATATAGGTGTTCAGTTAATAATTATTTAATTAATGAATTGCTTATTATTACTTCAGTGACTAGCAGTCACTATTTGGAATTCATTCCTCTAAGAGCCTAATGACTTTCCCAATATTTTTTGCTTTTACGTGTATTTATAGTTGATATCTTAGAGGTTCAGTTTTAAAGTGAGTGTTTACATAGATGAGTTGTTGTAACTCAAGACAATTATTTTTGACTTAAGAAAGACAAGAAATTTTAAAAATGAAGTAGAATAATTTCCAAATAAGGAGTGGTTACTAGTCACTGAAGTAATTAAAGGTACACTAAGACTTGTCAGTGGTATTGATTCTGTCTTGTCTGCAGTATACATCAACTTTCATTATGCTGGTAACTTCCTTCCTTTTAAAAATAATTTTTGTATTTGGTTTAGAAAATTTAAACCATAAAGAAAGGGCAAGGGAGACCTTTGTCTCTCCCTGAAAAAAAAAATCTTAGTAAAGGAATCTCTTTTCTTTAACCAAAGGATTATGTTTAAATCTGTTAAGTGATAAAGCCATACTATCTTGATTGTCTTGCATGGTTATTGGGATATGATATAAGTGGTAATGTATTTGAAGTCTTCTACGTATCTAGGTGCTGACCGTGGATAAACACAATGTGCGTTGCCAGCCTTTTTCCACAAATATTCCCATTTCTTTCCGTTTCACCAAATAACCATATAGTAGTCTCAAGTTACCTTGACAGTTCTGCAGTAGCATCCTAACTGGGCTCATTAACCACTCATGTGTATATGTTGTGTCCCTTGTAATATATTCACTACAAAGAATTAAACATGGTATTTTTAAAACAGAACTAACTAATCAGGTCACTCCCATGCTTTAAATCTTCCGTTGTACTGAATATCATGTTTAACATGTTGCCTTTAAGCAATAGTGGATTTTAAAAATTATTTGCATTGGCCCTTTTTTAAGTTGTATTGAGGTATATTTGACATACACAATAAATTGCATGTGTTAAAGTATACAATTTGATTTTGACTCTTGTGTACACCCATGAAATCACCAGTATAATCAAGACCTTCATCTTTGTGGTTGCCTTCTTTACATCTCCAGCTCCCAATCTGCTTTCTCTCACTCACTTGATTAGCTAGAAGTAGAATGACTAGATCACATGGTAGGTGTATGTTTAACTGCCCAAGTGTTTTTTTTTAAATGGTTGTATCCCTTTACGTTCTTAGTAGCAGTATATGAATATGCTTCCCATTCTCACCAAACCTTGGTATGGTCAGTGTTTTTCATTCTAGCCACTATAGCACATATATAATGGCTTATCACTGGTTTTAATTTCTGTTTCCCTAATGACTAATGCTGCTGAGCTTCCTTCGCATTGTGTTTGGCTCTTAAACAAATCCTTGAGAAGTTTTTTTTTCCTCCCATAGAATGTAATGTTTGAAACATCAGTATAATCTGAGATTTGACAGACATGCCTATATGTGTATTTTTGCCAGCTTTATACTATGATAGGATAATAAAAAGAATATAGTATTGGCTGGATTTATTTTATCTAATAAAACAAGAGGATTTTTTCAAGATGTTCTTTTACATTTCAGTACCATACATAATTGGCAGAAACTATTTTCCCACCACTGCTGGTTAAGGTAACAATTTGGTCCCTCCAGTTTCCTAATTTTGTGAAACTTCCAAAAGAGGTCCTTACTTGAAGCCTCTAACAATGCCTAATCCTTACTTCACAGCCACATAGGAGACAGGAACTATCTATAAACTTTGTAAAAGGGGGGTGGATTTTAATATAATTGTTTTTTGTTATAGGGAAAGTGTATAATTCATTCTTGATAAGTAATTCACAGTATTGTGCAATCATCATTACTATCCATCTCCAGAATTTTTTCATCGTCCCAATTGAAACTACCCATTAAACATTAACTCTCCAGTACACTCTCTCCCCTGTCCTTTTTAGCCATTATTATACTTTTTGTCTCTGAATTTGCCTATTCTAGGTAACTCCTGAGTGCAGTCATACAGTGTTTTGTCTCATTCATTTCAAATGGCCTGTTTCTAGGGTTCATGTTGCAGCATCTGTCAGAATTTTATTCCTTTTTAAGGCTGAATAATACTTCATTAGAGGTCTTGTTCAGTATTGGTTTGAGGCCATACATCCATTTAAGAATAATTTTAAGGATTTTAGAAACTACTTTTAAAAACTAATAAACATGTAGGCAGTAAGTTACAGTCTAATTCTAGCCTATCTAATGGTTACGAACTGTTTTTAGCTATTTCTCATTTTGCTGTTTGTTCTCACAAGTATTTCATTGAGTGAGGAGTAGGAACATTGTTCTGAATTCCTTTGGACAATAAGAGAAAGAGGACAAACAGCTTTATTTTGGTGACTTACCTTTCTGATGATCACTGGTGGTGGTTTACATGGATAGATGTTTAATACTGTGGCATGAGAAAAGACCCTTTCTTTTGATTATACATGGCTTTGATGGAGGAATCTGATTATAGAGTAGACAAACATTTAAAGTAATTAGAAGGGTGGGAAGGGATGAATTGGGAGTTCGAGATTTCAGAAACTAATACAAAATAGATAAACAAGTTTATACTGTATAGTACAAGGAACTAAATTTAATATCTTATAGTAGCTTATGGTGAAAAACTATGAAAATGATTATTTGTATGTTCCTGTATGACTGAAACATTGTGCTTACACCAGAAACCGACACAACATGGTAAATTGACTATACTTCAATAAAAATATATTTTTAAAAATTAAAAATAAATAAAGTAATTTGATTGTATACTTTTAAGAATTGCACAGTGATTGGGACTGAATTGAATTCAGTTTTGCCTATCTGTAGCTTTATGTTTGTAATAGTGTGTTAAGGCTTTCCATTTTCTGTGGTGCAGGAAAATTAGCCACTATGGAAGAAAAGGATAGGTATGTGCAACTTTTTAACTCATATTTTACAGTTTGTCTAGGAATGCATTTTTCTCTTTAATACGTAGAATCCTGTATTTGATTAAAAATTTAATGTATGGCAGTGTCACTGACTAGCTAAGATGCTCATGTATAACCTTATGATTTAAATTTAGAAAATGCCTTTGTCTCCGTGGGATATGGCACTATCAATATATTGTAGTCAGTAAGTTCTGATTTTAAAGGGTTTTAGTGAAATTTGTTAATGAAGATCAAATTCTGTTATACATTTCTTTTACCCTATCATTAAGTATCCACATACTTGTAAGATATTCCTGGGGGTTAAGATTATTAATATTGCCAGGTAAATAACTTGCAAGATGATATGTAACTTCTAAGTCATGATGGCCCTTTTCCTTAATTTTTAGGGGCCTTAATGATAGTAATTTATGTGTAAAGAATAGAAGAGTCAGCAATGCCAGAATTATGTTTTGATTAGGTCTAGTGGGTATTAGGACATGAGGTTTTTGTGTGGATTTCCCTAAGCGGTATGATTTAGCACTACTTTTAAAATAAAATTGATTCCCCTAGTTTTTTTTTGTAAATCACCTTATTGAATCTAGACCTGATTTTATTTTGTGTCCACAAAGCCCCTTATTTTTTAAAAACATAATTTTAGACTGTAGAACCATTGCCCAAAAAAGTACAAGATGTACTTGCACCTTTTAGTTTATCCTATTATTAACAACTTAGACAACCATAGTAAAATAATCACAACCAGAAATTTAACATTGGTTCAGTACTATTAGCTGAATCATAGACCTTAATTCAAATTTCACAAGCTTTCTCTCTAATGTCCTTTTTCTGTTCTAAAATTTATTCAGTTGTGTCTTAAACTTTACTCTCCCTAATCTGTGACAGTTCTTAATTCCTGCTTGATATGTCTTTGACACTTTCGCTGAGTTTTAGTCAGTTATTCTGTAGTATATTTCAGTTTAGGTTTGTCTGTTTTCTCATGATTAGACTTGAGATTCCATATTTTGGGCCAAGAATGCCACACAGGTGATATGTTCTCCGTCTACCAAACCAGGGGGTACATGGTATCAGTATGTTTAATTGTTCATTTATTATTAACTTTTACCAGTTATGTTGGTGCTTGCTGGTCTTCTGTTTACAAAATTACTATTTTTTTACTTTGAAAGTGATAAATAGCTTGGGAAGATAATTTAACACTATGCCAGAAACACATTCCTCTTGAAAGTTTTGCCCATTTGTTTTAGCATTCATTGGTGGTCTTGTCTGCAACAGTTAGTACTGTGGTCTTTGCCTAATGTAAAACTTTTTAAAATATAAGTACTGTAATATTGTGTGTGTTTGTATGAAACACATAAGTTTTTGGCACCTGGCAGGCAGTTTTTTAAACAGTTCTTACACTGTGAATATTGATAGTACTTAACATTGCATTTTCAGTTGATAAATAACCCTTATTATGTGGCTTTATTATACTAATGAAATATTTCTGCAGTTAGGAAATTATTATTATTAATGTTTTTTAAGGTTTTGTTTTTATTTGGGATGTGAAAGGGAATGGCTGATTTCCCCATAATAAATAAAAATTATTTTTTAAGTACCAATGAAGAGGAACCCTTAGGGTCAAAGAGTGAATTTAATACTTTAGCTCATGAAGATTACTATATTAAGGTAGTTTTACAATCAAATAAACATTTTGTTGCTCTCAAGTTGACTCTATTTCCTGCTGATTCTTAAATGGGTAAATTTCTTAGCATATCCCTTCGAAGTCGATATTGAGTCCAGTTTTGCAGGTTTGTTAAATGAGACTTGAAACGCAGTTTCATGAACTTTTATCTGTATTTTTGAAATTTAGATACCTCTGAAAATTTTGGTCTTCATAAGTCATTTGGTGGCAAAGCCTAAGTTATGAAACAGATGTGAGGGTAGTCTTTATCCTTTGTAGTGGGAAATAATAATTCGTTGCAATAGAGAATCCTGCTTCAGACCCTTTGGGTATGGGAATGTAAGTGCACCACATTACTTTAAATTTTAAGGGGACCTGTAGTAGATAACTCAGTAAATTCTCAGTGATGCAAAATAAAATCAAAGGTGTGGAGTCTTAACTGTTTAAAGAATAGGTTATGCTATTAAAGTATCCTTCAGTAAAGAACATTACAAATAAAAACTTTATCCTTAACTCTTTTTTCCTACATTGTAAGACGAACACATTAAAATTACTTCTAGGATTAGCTTAATGCTGCAATTGAAATAAATCTGGAAAGGATTAACATCTGACTTTGATTTATAAATATTTTACATAAACTTATTTATAGTGCTTACATAGTTTACATATTCAGTGTTTTTGTAGTTTTAACCCATA